TCTGGAAAAAAATCCATAATGAAGAAAGTAGACATAAAATTACGTCTGTGGAATCTTATTGCTAACCTGTGAAGCTAAGTAGCTTTTAGATACACCACATCCATCTTGTTCGGGTTGGTTCGAACTATCTCCTTGGTTCATATACCTGTCCCCTGTATCAAGATTTTAAGGCTCGTCATATTACATCTAACAACATATTGCATGTTGGCAATTCACCTTTCGGAAATTTCTTTTTAACTGTTGTTTTTCGATACATTTTCTTCAGCCATTTTTGGTTGAGAATATGATACCTTATCCTCAGTAAGCTACTTAGCAAACTTCCTTAAAACATTAACACGGTATGTACTATGTACTTGACCAAACATGGTTCTTACATCAACTCAACTAATTTTGGAACTTAATAAAATAGCTAGGTAATGATATGGACAATTCATTTAGGAAATGAGTGAAGACCTTTTATTACAATAAATGGCTAAACAATTTTTGTATAAAACCCTATTAGCACAAGATATGATCCAGTGATACATAAAAAGGGACCTCTCTGGGACTCTAGCCTAACAAATATAATAAATTTATAGAAAAACGAAAAATGAGTTTCGGTTTAAAACCTCCTGAAGTCCGTGGAGGGAAAATGTCGGGATGTGGACTGCTACCATTGCCATCTATAAGTCCAATGCACAAGGCGTTGTAGAAGTTGGACAACGGATCCTGCAACATTACATAACCTTCTCTTTTACGATCTTCACAGTACTGAACCAGGAATTGCTTCACACTGCTTATGCTCTCAAGGCAGAAGCTGTAATAATCCCCACACAAATAGATTTATTTTTCAAAATAGAAATACAGTAGAAAACTTAGAAAATTAATAAAAAAAAGAAATCTCATATCAATTATCACTCAATTAAACTGAGCAGAAGTTTGTTTAACAAGCTTACTCAAACATATAGAACTCATGATCCTCATAAAGCACATTACGATTAAATCTTTCAAGCACGGCATGGCTGATTAGTCCTAATCTTCCATGAACATCAAGCTTCAGCACTTGAGCACCTACCAAAAATTATAGAGCATAAGAAAAAGTCACAATAATCTCAAACAGGCAATTCATCGAACACCTCAAGCGCAGTTCAATTCAAGCGAACACCAAATTCAAACGCACCATTTGTATGAATAAATTCCCTGAGCGTCTGGCAGCAAGTGCAACTGTAAGGAGATGGCGGGACGGGCCAGATCGGGATCCGAACCGGGTTCTCCGGAGCCCAATTATTCCGTGCGAAATCAGGAAAATTCCCACTTTCACCACCATTAACATTTCTCTCCAAACCCGCTCCTGAAAACCGAGCACCGTATTCTCCGGCTGTATCCTCATTGGGATCCCGTAGGACGTCGTTCAAGAAATCGTCGATCAAAGGGTCGTGGCAGTCGACGGGATTCTCGTCGAGCATCAGAAACTGTTCGGCGCTTTCAATGGCGTCCGCCGTATGTCGATTGTTGGAAAAATCGGGATTTTGGTCAGCCATTTTTGGCGCTTCTTGTCGGGTGGTTGCGGCGGATGTGAAGGCCGCGACGCCTGGTGTGGACCAAGCGCCGCTAGGGTAAGCCTCGATTGAAGCTTCAGGTTATTTATTTTTTTTTTAATTTTTTTTAATTGGGAAATTGGTAAAGTGTGAATTTTGAATTGAAGCGTTTGGGAGACACTGAAAGAATGGAGAAGATAAAGGGCGCGAGCGAGGAGGCAGTTAATGACCGTTGTGGGGAATTATTTTATTAATTTTTTAAAAAAATAAGAAAACTTTTTAAAATGGGACTTGCTCTGGTTAATAACATTTTAAAATGGGCCTAGGCATCAGGCCCAAATATTTCTAGGTTGGGCAGATGGGGTTTTTACTAGAGGGCTGAAGCCTCATGCTGGATCCATTTAGGTGCAACGAAGACAGATAAGTTAGTTTATAACTTATAAACTCTCTGTCTTCAAATAAGTTCCGTTTGGTAGGACGAGTTTCTTTAAAAAACTCGAGAAACTTTTTTGGGTAGTTTTTAAATAAGGTCGTTGAAATTTTTATTTCAACTAATTTATCAATTAATTTTACCAAACACTTTTATCATATAAGATAACTTTTCAGATGCACAGTCCCTAATAATTTATAAGGACCAAAGAGATTTTCTTTGGGCCGTCATGTGACAATATCCGAAACACCAATCTCTATTCCCTTCGAATTAAATAGAAAGATGGCCCGATTGGAACAACGTATCTAACAAGCTCGCATTCATATTGCATGTATTACCCGGCTCGATTCCGGATTAGTCGGTTTCCTTGTGGATCCGGAAACCGGAAGGTCCCTGTACCAAAAAAAAAAAAAATATTATGTATATAATATGTGCGGACAAACACAACCATGAAAGTGAAGGGTCTTTTTAATTGTCTTGTTTGATAGTCCATGGGGTGGCCCGGCCCCCGCCGACGCGGGCTGACCCGTTTAGGCCGACTACTTGGCTTGGCCTCGAAAATACAGGTCCAACCTGCCCCTATAGCAGAAACCGGAGCGGGGCGCGGGCCTTTTTGTTGTGTAAAGAAAAAATACAAGAAGATGTGTGATAGAAAACCCTTCTCTAGCATGGCCAAATTACATGGCTGCTGGAAAAATGGATTTTTCATGTTTTTTATTCAATGGTAAAACACGTTAATAGAAAAATAAAATAAAATAAAATAAAATTTGTGCCGACGAAAATAGCCCAAGTACTATAGTTGCTTTTTTAGACCAAAAGTCATAACTCCACCAACATTGTACTCTATAGATGAAGAAAGGTCACCTATAGTTGACTTAAACTGCAACATGCATTTATCCTTTCATCATTTCAAAGGTAATTCTTGTACCAAAAAAGGTAATTCTAATTATAAACAATAATTTCTATTTACATATTTTTACTCTGTTTGAGTATTTTATTCACATGCATCCCACCCAATTCGAGTGTGACACGTTCTATGCAGGGGCGAAACCAGAAAATTAATTAGTTGAGAGAGGGCAAAAGTCACGACATAATTTGTAAAAGATAATGAAAATGCATAAAAAAAAAGTTACCTTATAATTACAATTGTTCACGACGAGATGACATGGTCTGAAATCATTAATTGCATAATAGTTTCACTACTAATTTCATCAAAAACATTTTTTTCAACGTACGGAACCATACAAGCGTTGAGCCGATCATCTTCTATTCGGTTGCGTAATCGACTTTTTATAATCTTCATTGCAAATAAATGAATTAAAATTTAAACATTTAGTTGTCTGTTAAGTATTAACTATTTAACTTAATTTATTATTTTATTTAACATAATCTCAAGTATCATAATTTTTCTTTTATTATTTTCTTTTATATGGACAAGTTGGCTAACGTATAAAAAAAATTAAGGGTGCAAAAATAAATGTAAGGGGTGCAAATAAAATTTTTAATTAGTAAATAAAATTAAAATTTGAGGGGGGCAATTACTATGTGTGAAGATTATTATAGATATCCTAATGTTTTTATGCTTATGAAGTGTACAGATTAATATATCAACCAATTAACGCGATAGCAAATTAGCAACCACGTAAATAATGGATCTATTGCACGTAGTTGGTGGACAGTGGACACATATTAATGGACTCACGATGGGTACATGGACCCAGAGTGTCATTTTGATTACTAAAAAGTTACAAATAACAAAAACCACAAAAAAAAAATGAAGTAATTTTTTTTTTTTCCAACTCATGAATCACGTGATCAAACAAAAAAAAACATCATCCTCCAACTTTACGATACATAATTGTTCGAATATCACTTGTAATCGTCCCACATTGATTTGATATGATAAATGAGTCTAGTTTATAAACTTAGTGGGTTACTCCTCCTATCACCAATTGGTCTAAAAAGAATCGGCATTGAGGAGCAATCAAACACGTCCACCCAAATTTAGTTGTTATTCAGTGTAGATGCATCAGATATCCCATTCAAAAATCAAACTAGTTAAGGGACCAAAAAGCCTGAGCGCTCTGCAAATGAAAGCAATTTTTCCTCAGAAAAAAGAACATAAAATTTATAATAATGTCCCCCGCATGGTTCAACATTAGTAGTCCAACACTGGGGTATGAAAATTGAAAATATATTCGTTTCTACTTGTTTTAATGTGGGCTTCGATAATTAAGGATACGAGTAATGCTATATGTACATAATATTGTACGTAGGGGTGTACATAATATTCACATTGAGTGAGATCCACCCAAAATTAAAAATTAAATAGACCCCTCTACATATGAGTGTTATGTACAACTCTATGTACATTTATTATGTACACATAACATTACTTTTAAAGATACGCTCGTTCTTGTATGAGTTAAGCTAACAATTTGACAAATTTACCTTGTCTATTTTTTAAAAAAATAAAAATAAAAATGCATATTAATATTATTAACATGATACGTTAATTTATATTAATTTTAAAATTATGTTACTTGTCTATAAATGTAAAGATTTTTGTTAAAAAAAATATGAATACCTAATGATCAAATCTGCCGCACAGCAGCCCCATTATAATTGAACTTCCTAGTTTACCAATGTTGCTCTTAAACCCATCATTCAACTATTATGTATGTTAGTTTATATAATTGTTGTATTATGTATTGTAGGGTTAAATTAAGGCCTAACCTAAATAAAACCCATCTTTTGTCTTTATATGCATGTGTATACCTTTGTGATTAATACAAGATAATTTTATGACATTCTCATCACATGGTATCATACTAAGTTTAGTCACATATAGGCTTGGTCTTTCGTCGCTCGTCTACGGCCACCTTTGACTCTCACCTCACATACCATCGTCTCCGGCGTCCCAAGATGGACCTTTGCCGGAAATTTCAGTCGCACCGGCGGCGCGTGTAGCCCACACGCGCCTCGTCTCTGTTTCAGCACAAGTTCCTTCGACCGGTGCGTGAAGCTCACCTCAACGCCGCTCGTCGCCGACTCCTGTCGACGTCCAGTACCTTTTGGTGTGGTCGGATTTGGTTTTTGTGGACTTTTTAATTTATGTCCGTACTGATATTTTATCTGGTCCGTGCTCCGATTCGTATTTTTCTTTCATCTGCTTCGTGATATTATTGGTGGTTATCTATTTTTTGATATGGATCATATGGATATGCATTCTCCTATTAATGTTGTCTTATCATGAGATAATTATAGTCTTTGGGCACAGTCTATGAAAGTTTTTTAGTCGGGAGAAAATTATGGAAAATTGTGACTGGTGATGTATTGCCTTCTATGCATCCGTCTTTTATTGGGGATACCAATCCCATCCCACAGGCTCTTACGGCATACATCGATAAATTGGAGGATTGGGCCAGTAAGAATCATCAAATTCCTACTTGGTTACGTAGTACATAAATCTCTGCTATTCAGGTGCAGTTTGCTCCGTTTGACAGTGCAAAGGAGGCTTGGAATTTTTTGATCGCTCAATTTTAGACTACAGGCTTGGCTCATTATTATCAGCTTTGGAGCACCTTGTATTCCACCAATAAATACTTTGAGCTAATTTAGGGACGTCGTCAACCCAGCACATTGGAACACAACGACCGCAAAATAATCAACAACTCATTGTCTATTCGACATTGCTTACCAATACACCGAGGTTCATTAACTCTCAATGAATCTCACTCATATGTGAACAAATAAGCAAGTGCCGAGTACACATACACGTCATTATTTTAAGTGTCACAAGTACGAGCAATAATTATGGTCTATATTATTTATCAGATCAGCATAAAACAAGTTTACCCTACATTATAAATGTACTAGTGCAATTCATTGGTCAAGATCAACTAATTCTAAAATTACACCACAACCGTTCACGACAGTTAGTTCAATATTGTATAGGTTGCAAACAATTTATATTTTACAAGATACGATCTTCAGTTCAAAACGATACAATGTAAAATAAATAGAACTTGTTTGCATAATTAAACATAACGCAAAACACAGTCAACTAAAGTTGTATCACATTCAAAATGTAATTGAGTTCGTAACAAAAAGCCAAAATTTATAAAACACGCAATAACAACTGTTTCGGCGTTTCAATATTTTTAAAAATCTTTAATTGGATTCGACGAGATCGAACGACAATCCAATTAACAGGCTATAGTCAATGATCCAAGCCGGTTCCAAAACCGTTGGGGCCGGTTTGGAGCCGTGGCCACATCGACATTTAACTGTATATCAACTCCACGGTTATTTGCAGCACAATTTTTATTTAATTTTTATTATTATATGAGCTTCAATAATTCTAGTGAATCTAAAGTCTGATACGACAACATGATTGATAGATTGAACTCGGTTTCTTCTTTTATTGTAATCAGGTTTTTGAGACAGTCCATTTAAAGTAAATATTTCCAGACTTTTTTCTCAGTTTCACCCTGATTTTTCGAACACATTTTTTCCCGGAGAATCTTCTTTGACTGACTATTTACTGCAAAAGAAATTGTCATCAATCACTTTTGGCTCCTCATATAATTAATTATTAGAGCATTGTGATTCATATTTAACTAGTGCATATCCCGTGCGATGCACAGATAAACAAAATTAAATAATAAATATAGATAGGTCTCGAGTTCGAGTCACCTAATAAAAGAAGTGGGAAACTATATACTTTCTTAAAAGAGCAAGAAAAAATATTATAAATTAAATATTAGAGTAAACAAATTAAAGATGTGGCGTTAACATGTGATATAATTTATCGTATATCAGTTTATTATAAACAATCTAAAATTAGCTTGTACAAGAGTACATAAAATTTGCATGTTTAAAATATTACAAACATCTAAAATATTATATAAACATATGTAAAAATATCTAAAATTTTCTATATTATTATTAAAAGATGTGAAGTCAACTACAACTTTTCTAAACTATTTTGGAAAGAAAATGTGTCTAAAAACATTAACTTTCAGTTTTGTATGAAAGATGTTTTCTAAATTTTTTTTTTTTTTTTTTTT